ACTAATTCATTTTCTGCTGTCTTTGACTGTAGCCTCCCTAGTGTTCCACCTCCATTTCTACCTTGTTAATAACCACATGTTCCTTATAAAACTATTTCCTTTAACGTGTGTAACCCTCCTCACTGCACTTCTTCCACAGGTACCTTGAGCATCTCTGAGACCGATAGCGGCATCAATCCTCTCATGGAAGCCTTCAACCTCACCCCCTCTGACTCTTCTACATTCTTCCTAACAGGCATCCCTGGCCTGGAATCTGCCCATGGCTGGATTTCCATCCCCTTCTTTTTGTGCTACATGATCAGCCTTTTGGGAAATGTCATATTTCTGTTAGTCGTAGGCAAAGAGAAGACCCTGCACAAGCCGATGTACCTGCTGCTCTGCATGCTGGCGTTTACAGACATCTCCATTTGTACTTTGGTTGTGCCAAAGGCTCTGTGTATATTTTGGTTCAATTTGAAAGGAATTAGTCTGACCGGCTGCCTCACTCAGATATTCCAACTTAACATCCTTTTGTTTATGCAGTCAGCTGTCTTTGAAATAATGGCCTTTGATCGCTACCTTGCCATATGTAACCCTCTGAGATATGCCACCATCCTCACCCACACACTAATTGCTAAGCTAGGGATAGCAAGTTTGCTGAAATCTGTTCTCTTGGTCCTACCCGTGCCCTTGCTCCTGAGCAAGTTGCCATTCTGTGCCAGCCGCGTTATCCCCCAAACTTACTGTGATGGCATGACTGTGGCAAAGCTCTCTTGTGGGAACATCGCTGTTATTGGGATGTATGGTTTGGTGCTAACTATTTTCAACATTGCGTTAGATTTGAGTCTTGTTGTCCTGACCTATGGTTTCATCATCAGGGCCGTTCTCAGAATCTCTTCCAACAAAGCCTACGAAAAAGCCCTCAGCACCTGCACGGCCCACATCAGTGTTATGTTGTTACATTGGATTCCCTGCCTCTTCTCCATTGTGACACACCGCTTTGGGAAGGGTATCGCTCTCCACACACACGTCATCTTGGCAAACCTCTATCTCCTCGTCCCTGCCATGCTCAACCCTTTCATTTACGGATTGCACTGCAGAGAGTTTCGTGATAAATTGGTCAAATACACCTTCAAGAGGGTATAGGGACTCTGACTTTAAAGCTGTATGACAACTGAAAGTAAGTGTAACCTTGTGTGACCCAGACTTTACCTCATTGCCCTTCTTCCATGCCTTAAAAAAAGTCTAAATAAACTGCTGCTCGAAACCCAGAATTCAGTCTGTAGGGATCTTCAGCAAAGACTGAAAAGGGGGGAGGGATAGCTCAGTGGTTTGAGGAGACTGAAAAGGGGAGAGGGATAGCTCAGTGGTTTGAGCATTGGCCTGCTAAACCCAGGGTTGTTGAGTTCAATCCTTGCAGAAGGATTTGGGGCAAAAATTCATCAGGGATGGTACTTGGTCCTGCTGTGAAGGCAGGGGACTGGACTCAACTTGATGACCTTTCAAGGTCCACTATTAGACTGAATAGAGTCAGCATCCCCAGATTCAACTCCAAAAAGGAACTAAAGAAGTGGATGTAAATGGTTATTGAGAGAGAGTTTATATATCTGTCTGTCAATATGTCCATGCACCTATCCTTGAATGTGTTTATTTATGATCCCTTCTGGAATGGTAAGAGCTAGGATCACCAGCTTGCAGATTTCTCTTATTCCCACTGAACTCAAGATCAAGGTGTGGCTCTGCCAGGACTATGGGGTGTGCCTAGAATCCCATCGTTTTCTTTCACATAGAAAGGGAAGGGTGCGATAGCAGGGATTGGTATGCTCCACAGTGACCACTGCAGGTACTGCATACAGTTATACTGCAGTCATCATAGGGAGGCAGCTACACCAATAAGAGAGACGAGGAGTCCTGTGGCACCTTATAGACTAACTGAAGTGTAGGAGCATAAGCTTTTGTGGGCAAAGACCCACTTCATCAGATGCATCTGACGAAGTGGGTCTTTGCCCACGAAAGCTTATGCTCCTACACTTCAGTTAGTCTATAAGGTGCCACAGGACTCCTCGTCTCTCTTATTGGTGTAGCTGCCTCCCTATGATGACTGCAGTGAGAGTTGCCATCTTGGGTGGAGGAAGTAGCTTCTCTATTTCAAAGCCTCAGTCTCAAAACCTGCCCTCCTTCACCTCTCAGCACCAGCACTTGCCCAGGGTGGGAGCCTGGCAGTGCTCTGGGAGGCACAAGTCAGGGTACAGGGCTCAGGGCAGGGTGATGGGAAATCAGGGGACTTACTGGGGCCACTTGTATTAGTACTGGTGTTGATGCTCCCACGGCAACTCCTCCTGTGGTCCAGGGATGTGCTGCCCAGCTGGTGGCTTCTCCTGGGGTCTGGGCAGTGCAGTCCCAAAACCATGGAAATGTCTTTGGATGTACAGACCAACATGTGAATAAAATGTGCATCTTTCGGGAAAGTTTATTCTCAGGCCAATATTGGGTGATTTGGGGCTGTCAGTCCAGCAGAAATGTGGAAAAGCTGAAGAACCAGCTCACACTGAGCTAAAGGCAGAGGGGCAGGAGGCACAGGAGAAGCTGCCCATGAGGCAGAGCAACAGAACTCTTAGCCAAGGGATGTTAAAGTAGGTTTAATGGGACAAGGTGACCAAATCCCACAGGAAAGTCATGAACATGGAAGTCTGTGACTTGGGCCAGAAGCCACTGGATGGTTAGAAGGCTACCATGGTCCCACAGCTCCCAGACAGTATGCAGAAGGTGCAAACCCATCACACGTGTGCCGTTTGGAGTCCACATTGGCCCCATAGACAACAGTCATGGAAACATATGGGAAGGATGGTAGCACACACGAAAGATCCAGAGGAGCCAGCTTCCCTATCTCAAAGCCTCAGCCTTAGCCTCCAAACGCCATGGCCAGACTAAGTTTGCCATGGCGATTTGAGCCCTTGGCATCTGTGGAACATCTATTCACTCCCAGGGAAGGCTCTCAAGCTGTTGTTCTCCAGGGTCCATTTTCTGGCCTTCCCGATGCTCACGGAGCCGTGGGAATTCTCTGGGAGCGCTGCCAGTGGCAGAGGAGGCAGGGGCTGTACTGAGCAACTATAAAGGTGGCTGAAAAGTGCACTCAGGTGCTGTACTGAACAATTATAAAGGTGTCTGAAAAGTGCACTCAGGTTCTGTCATGTGAGATTCCTATGCCGATTCTCAGGGCCCTGCTTTCCTGTCGCCGGGAGGAGATTTCCCCTCTCTTCTCTCCAGGATTTCAGTGAGTGTCTCTTTCCCCCTCAAAGCCAGTGCTTAGGGTTTCAAGCCAAGGACTGCCTAGGGCTGGAAATCACCAGGACAAGCCTGAACTGTTTAGTACTGGCAGAAACACTAAGGGGTTTGCCTCACAAAATTGAAAATGGATTCAATATAGTTCAGAGAAATGTGACATTTTAAGATCGATTCCCTGTATCCTTCCATGTCCTTCTATGTCTCTCTGACGCTTCTGTTTGAGGGTGGTGAAGTATTTCCCTGGTTCTCTCTAATTTTCAAACCTAGCAGCTTCACTGCCCTGTTTGGAAGTGCAGCCCAAGCCTCTGCAGGGGGCGTATGAAGTACCAGAGGATTCACAATGAGAATAGGCAGCATCTGGCCAGACTGTGCTCTCCTATTTTCCCATCTCAGGGTCATTCCAGACTGATATTGGCCTCTATGAGAGCAAAACCAGGGCCAATGGGTTGCGAGAATAGGCAGCATCTGGCCAGATTGTGCTCTCCCATTTTCCCATCTCAGGGGCATTCCAGACTGATATTGGCCTCCATGAGAGCAAAACCAGGGCCAATGGGTTTTCAAATCCCGTCTCTCATAACCAATCTCAAAATTCCATATAAACTCAGGTTTCCTTCCGTCTCTTTCAGTGGCCTACCAGGTGCATGGATTATTGCAGCTTGGAGCTGAAAGATAAACGCAATGCATGAATCTGGTCCAATTAAAATCAGGGGCAAAACTCCCACCAGGGCCAGGTTTCACCCTAAATGCTCACACAGGGACTTAGCTATACGGCCTCATCTGCACTGGCCAGGAGCCTCCAGAGATGTCAGCTGGAGACCTTCCATTGCCTCTATGGATGGCTGAGGTGATTTCAGCAGAAACGAACTGACAGGAGAGTTACTGGTGTCTCTCACTCACAGGCTGATAGGTTCAGAATTAAGGAAGGAGAGGGGTCTGTTCTCTCAGAGCCTCTGCACCTCCTGGCTCTAGGTAGGATGAGAAGCACCAAGGGCAGTAAAAATAGAAGCAAGTGTCCGGCTTGGAGGAAACTGGGTGGTGTTGGGAATCTTACAAGGGAAGGTTCAAGAACACGCAGGGTGTGTAAGGGGTGGGGAGGCAGAATACCGGGCTGTGTAGTATCCAGATCACAGTGGCACAGGTTCCTGAAGCCGTATGAGGGAGGAAATGGACAGACCAGAGAGGGGCAATGAAGCTTCCTGGGGTAGAGGGTGTCTCAGATTGTACGATCCCGTGGGCCACATTCAGTGTTGCCAGATGTCAGTAAATTCAAGGACAAATTCTGCAAAAATGGGCTAAAATTGGGCCTTTCCATTATGTAATAATAAAAAACCTCTTAAGATGTCAATAAGAAACCCTGAGTTTTGAGGTGGGGCTGAGGGGTCCCGCCTCGTTAGCCCCAGAGTGAGCTGTGCCCTGTGGGGCAGCTCTAGAATTCTCCTGATGGGGTCTCTCTGGGTTGCTGCTGGCTGGTGGGGTCTTCTTCACCGCCACATTGGAATGCTTCTTCAGCATCAGCAATGTGGCAACTCTGCGTGGGCATATAGCTCACACCCTGCTGGCCTCTCTGTGCTTTGGGGGTGCATGGGACGGGGTACAGATGGCCAGGGTCAGCTGCCTCTTACAGGCTCATGCCACACCCATCTGTCACGGGGAGGAAGTCCCTTAAATGTAAGAAAAAAAAACTGCCCCCTCCCTTGCTGGGTGGGTTATAGTCTGTTGACAATGGACCCTGAGAAATGACTAAAGCGGTGCCTGACTACAACATGCAGTACAAAGGGGAGGTTGCTGATTTCGCTAGTAAGTAGAGCTATGTCTAGACTACAGGTTTTTTTTTTAAAGTGGTCTTTTTTCAAAAAAACGTCACCTGTGTCTAGACTGCTGCCATGTTCTTTCTAAATTAAATCGAAGGAATGTGGTGGTTTTTTCCGACAGCGGTAAACCTCAATTTATAAGGAAGAATGCCTCTTTTTTTAGAGTGTTCTTTTGAAAAATGGCGTTCTTGACTGCAAATGGGGCTTTTTCGAAAGAGAGCATCCAGATTGCCTGGGTGCTGTTTTTCGAAAAAGCAGATCACTTTTTAGAAGAAAGTTGTGGCTGTCTAGACAATCTCTTTTGAAAAAGCTTCTTTTTTGTGTGTAGTTTCGATGTACCCTAGGTTAAACTGGCACAATAACATTGGCGCTGTGTTGTATGAATAACACCATTGAATATTGTTCATGATTGTCCTTTCAAGCCACCATTGTATTAGGTAAGACGGTGTCCTTAAGAAAGTTTGATTTCTCCGTAATTTTTTTTCTACACTCTCCATAAACATCATTTCCCGCCATTGGAAATCCTTAGCACACTATGTTAAATTGTCTCCGTCGCCATCCCCTGTCTGGACCCTCCCTCTGCCTATGAGTAACCCCGCTCCGGCCGCATGGCAGTGTCAACAATTGTCAACACGGAGCAGCAACCTCAGGGGGGTGTCACCGTGTTTGTAATGGGCCATGTTATGTTTGAGCTCTGTGTTGTTTTAAAGAAGATCTACTCCAGTCTCCATGTCCCCTCCACCGCCTGCTGCATCTGTCCATCCCCCTTCCCCACACAGGCTGAACTTCTTCTCAGCTGCCGCTGGGGTTCCTCTCACCCCAGAAAGGCAGATCAGGCTGACATCCCCCTTTCCCCTGGCGCTAGCAAACAGTGGGTATGTCTACACTGCCACCCTAGTTTGAACTAGGGTGGCTAATGTAGGCATTTGAACTTGCAAATGAATCCTGGGATTTAAATATCCTGGGCTTTATTTACATGTTCCCGGGTGCTGCCATTTTTAAATGCCCCGCAGTTCAAACTCACTGTCTATGGCTACACGCGGCACGGACTAGGTAGTTCGAATTAAAGATCCTAATTTGAACTACCGTTACTCCTCATTGCAGGAGGTTCCTTATATCACACCTGCTCCCTTGGCTAGTGGGAGACATGTGACTGTAGTAAGAAACCTCAAACCCCTGTGACAAATGTGAGGACAGGCACCAATACTAGTGGTCATGTGACACCCATACAATCTGTTGTCCTTCAAGGCATGAGGTGGCCGAGATCAATACAGCTGCAATGTGCTGGAGCCACAGGCACCGAAAAGGTTGGGGATCACATCCCAGAGGTTCTACTCAGGATGCTCTGGGACCATCTGTTAGCCAGCTTTTTTAGTCATTAATGATGAATATTGGACATTCATTCTGCAGTGGGGAGATTTCATCAGCTTAGATAACCATTTTTCACACTTAAAACATTTGTCCACATGAGGCCTCAGGGATCTCTCAGTCTTGTGAAATAGACACTTAGTATAACACATGCAAGGACCCCAGGGTCAAATGAGAATTTACATAAGAACATAAGAATGGCCGTACTGGGTCAGCCCAAAGGTCCATCTAGCCCAGTAGCCTGTCTGCCGACAGTTGCTAGCACCAGGTGCCCCAGAGGGGATGGACCAAAGACAATGATCGAGCGTTTTGTCTCGGGACATCCTTCCCCAGCCTCTGACAAACAGAGGCCAGGGACACCATTTTATGCCCTGGCTAGTAGCCTTTTATTACGCGCTGTGTGAAAAAGAACTTTCTTTTATTAATTTTAAACCTGCTACCCATTAATTTCCTTTGGTGTCCTCTAATTCTTCTGTTATGGGAACCTGTTCCAAATCCCTAATCATTTTAGTTGCCCTTTTCTGAACCCTTTCCAAGGCCAAAATATCTTTTTTGAGGTGAGGAGACCACATCTGTACACAGTATTCAAGATGTGAATTTCTTTCTTTAGCGCTCAATTCAACCAGTTGAAATCAATCGATCGATCGATCGAACAAACAAACAAAAGAGCAAGCAAGCAAGCAAACAAACAAACAAACAAACAAGCAAATGACTTCAGGAAGCTCAGGCACCAGGCTGCAGGCAAAATGCTTCCAGCTGACTACTGGGATCATGTCCATAGATAGTCAGGTCACAAGGGACCACTGTGTTTATCTAGTCTCTAGTCCACTGTCTAACACAGGTCTTACAATTTCAACTAAAATATTCACGGTAAAATCTAAAATTAGGTTTAAATATATTCAGCCATGAAGAAACAATGAAGACCCTTGAAAGATGGTTCCAATAGATAATTATTCTCAATATTTAAAAAAAATCTTACTTCCAGTCAGAACTTCTTTAATTTCAACGTGCAGACACTGGATCCTGTTACACCACTGTGTGCTTGGCTGAAGTACCCACCATTAAATTTGTGTTCCCCATTTCCATACAAGCAAGCTGTTGTCAAGTCACCTCTTAATTATTATTGTTAAACTAATTAGAGACCCTTCTTTGAATTCTCTTCAATAAATCAACATCCAGCCTTCATCCTGGGCAGCAGAATTGAACAAAGGATTCCAGCTCCTTGAGATTCACCAGGTTGTTCTCTCAGGATCACATGGGCTCTTTTAGCCACAGGGTCACCCTGGGAGCTTATGTTTATCTCATTATCCCTCCTGGCCCCCAAATCGTGTTCACAATATTTGCATTTCCTATCAGAGCCCCCATTGTTTAAGCATAGCTTGTTTTCGTTGTTTCTAAATGTACATAACTACAGGGCTATAATAGTACACACACTGTTAGCTTTGACACCATTTAGCAATCTATCCACATTGCACTGTCCTCTTCATTATTGACGATCCTCCAGTTTTGTGTCTTCTGCAAACTGAGAATGGCAAAGAGCTGAAAAGCCGACCCGCGGCTCAGCTCACACATGTTCGTTAACACCTGCAACTTCTGTCTCAGACCAAGTTGGGGGCATGCAAGTAAGTTTCCCACCAAAAGAAACAAGAGAGCTAATAGAGGCCCTAGAAACCAACAGCCTTGACTCCTTTCCCATTCTGTGCAGCAGAAAGTTCTAGCCCAGCATTGGACTCTCTGTTTCCATGGGGAAACTTGACTTACTTGACTTACGGATCCGTACTTACGAATGGGGCTTTTCTCGCCCCAGAGGTCATGGGCGGCGGGTCCGCCCCCAGCAGACCAGGGAGATGCGGAGCAAAGCCACGGAGGACGCGGGCGGCGGGACCTCCCAGACACGCCGCGGTCCTGCCGCCCGCGTCCTCTGGGGCGAGAAATGCCCCGTTCGTAAGGACG